CCACACCTTTTCGGTTGTGGCAGTGGTCACCGGCTCGATCGGGCATTGAGTTGTTTTGGGCACCTTGAGCATTTGACCCCGTCCGAAGGACAGATGATCCGATGAACTGGACACCGGCTCCCAATGCACTGCGGTTTTCACGCACCGCCCCTCTGCCTTGCGGGTCAGGCTTTGGCTAGCCGAAGGCTCCGATTGTGAATTCCTCAAGAAAATTCACCTGTCTTGGCCTGGGCGACCTGGCAGTATTCAGCCCACAAGCCAATCATGGAGCGTTTTTTTCTTTTAATAAAAAATTACTGTACCATGATTTGCCTGACACAGTCTGTCCTTAGACAAATGTGAAATATAATGATAATAAATAGAGTTGAGTAACGGAGCACGTGGCCAAGTCATTCAAGGCGACAGCGTTGTAGCCTTTTGAAAGGTTGGTGTAAATTCGAGCAGCGCCGTCGAACTTCATCATTAGAAACCTGATCTCTCCAATTTACTTTCGCCATGCGACATAAGAACCAATGAGCGTCCTTGCATCACACACTCTTAAAGGTCATGCTTCACATCCATAAATAAGGATGAGGCGGATGGAAGCCTGATAAACCCGAAGCTTATTTCGCATCGAATCCAAAACGGTCTGAGAAGTCGAAGAAAGGCACTTTTAGCTTCATCATCTGCTTGTTAGGCCTAATTGTAGAAGCAAGGTATTTGAAAAATGGTGTTTATTTGACAAGCTTTCTATAAATCGAGAGGGGGGTTGCATCATGGCGAACGTTTCGATTGTAAACGTCTTGGTTTTCGATGTGTTGATCGCTGGCCGAATGATTTGGACAAGCTGGTTAATGTGACTGACAACAGAGTGGAGGTTGTCTATGGTGTCTTCAAGTACAACGACATTATCTGTAAACTTGAGATCTGTAATGCAAGTACCTACGACAGGCTGCACTCCGCGGTAATCGAGTGCTTGTTACATAATCCAATCTGCGGTGTAATTGAATAACACCGGCGATACAGGATAACCTTGTATGAATCCAGAGTTTAGGGTTAACTCAGCTGATTCTTCCCTATAGGTACGGACGCGTGCTCACGTCCACGGTAGTACAAATTTAAAAGGCTGATAAATCTCTCGGGCACCGCGTCGGACCGCAAATATGCACCACAAGGATTCTCTGTCGACAGAGTCGATGAAAAGGAGCTGTGGTAGATTGTTGGAGCTTGTGGTGGTGTTCCAGAATCCTACGGAAAGTAAGATGTTCAACACAGGCTCTTCCGCGGCGAAATCCCCCTTGTTTCGGGCGGATGCGGGTATCTCCGACGACTGCGAAACGGTTAAACAGTATCATAACAAACAGTTTGTCCGAAAAATCATTGAGGTTGATAGCCCTATATAAGTTTTGCATTGCGATCTGTCACACATTCTTGTGATAGCGACTAAAACTAAAGTTGCCCAATCTTTTAGAGATACTTCTTAAATGGAGTGGAAAAGAGAGCGCAGCAGATTGATCGTAATTGAAAGACAAATATTGAGTAGATCTTTGGGTATCCTGCCTTCCCCAGGGGACTTTCTGCTTCTCAGAGCCGTGACTGCATTGGTTATTTGTCTTATTAGATGGGTCATAACTGATGGGGCACGTCCCCGAACTGTTTGGAATCTGTGGACAGCTAGGTTGGTTTGATGGGCGACTGACCAACCCATCGAAGTGTCCGATCCGCTTCACGCTTTCTGCTCATATCTCTGAGTAATTTGGCCAGCAATGTCGCGCAACAGTGGCTCCGGTGTCAATTTCCTGCCACGGCAAGGGCTAGACGAAATGACTGCAGCTTCCATTCGGTCCGCAATTACTCTCGAGTATTGTTGACGATCTATCTTAGCGACGTTCATTAAGGAATTCAAAAGAATTGATCAGCAGCGACTGTTGCCTTTGCAGACTAGTGCAGTGTAGGTTGGGAAATCCAGTCGAATGAAAAAAAACGATGGTACGAGTCTGAGGTGGAAACCGAACAAACAATTCTGAGGTTAGACCCAGAGTCTTAGATGATCATGGTAGCCCACTGGAGCAAGCGATCGACCTCTTTAGATTACACTGGTTGGAACGTGCGTTGTCACGAGAAAGGTTGTAACGGCGCACAATGCTTACCGAGGCAGGTAGTGGATGGGAAAAGTCAAGGACTGGATCATTGTAATCCATGGTTAGAGACACTGAGTGATATGAATGAGTGTCGCAAACAGTGGCGCTCGTTCATCTACTTATCATCTCTGCAGCTTTACTCTGTGTGAACTCTCTATCCCCTCTTTCACTCCAATCTCAATGTTCCAATCTTAATTCCGCTCTTTTTACCAAAATGGAAAGTGGCTAGGGCTTTCTCGGCATCCTCGACCGTGCTAACGTTTTCATAGACAGGATTGGTAGGCAGCGTAAACAAAAAACGGACAGTGTTATGGACTGACACCTGAAATAGGTCAACTGTTAAATTAGGATGAATCAGAAATACCTTTCGGTAGTCATTTTTGAGCAACCAATCGGACACCGAACTAAACGACTGCCACGATCAGTTCAGTATTATTCACACCACATAGGATGGAGTGCAAGAATGGTGCGGTGCAACTCACCAGAATCGGATCAAAATCCCCACCTTGTCGGCTAAGGAACGTGAACATCATACGCAGATACGGGTTCTCCAAGCGATTGATCAAATCGGCGCATGTGGCTCGCCACAAGTCATTTTTGGCATCAGAATAACCGGCCAGAGCGAGTGCAACTAATGCCGTATCCTGTTGACTGGTGGTTGCTTTACCATCTGTTTCCGAATTGCTATTGAGACGATGATCTTGTTGAGCGGGGACAGGAAAGAATGGGAGCCCATAATTGTATCAGCAATTAGGCGTGTTTTTCACCATAACAAGTCATTATTTGCGACACCTGCTATAAGTAGCGAGTAGTTGTAAATTCGGCGCAAATTAGTGTTGAATGAGATTACTATAAAACAACTATCAATTATGTCCCGGATTATTAGATCATTATGGTGAGGCGTCTGCAGAAGGTATAGACTTCGGGCCATTTGTGGAGGCAACATCAGGTGAACTATTGCAAACAAATTAACTCCGGATTTTGGGGATATAATCAATATTCCAATCGCGACATTGAAGAAAACATAAAATAATTCGACGACGACCGTTTTCGCTAAATTCTTTTTCGGGTTAATACTTTCCGGTAGATTTTGGACAAAAATGGAATCAGTGTAATGACCTGACGGGATTGAATTGATCGGTTGATTGTGGCGCGCATCGTTCTGAAGAGCGAATAGTTATAGTGTGCGGTTTGGAGATTGAACAATCAAACAGAACATCCTGAAGGACTAGCAATGAGAGGATTGAAAAGAAAAATGCGTTTCGAAATATAACGAGAAGGCGATTTGGCTGTCAAAACGTTTGTCGATTCAATTAAGAAAAACGGCCTATGCGTTCAATTATATACACTCAATTCCTGGCCGCGCGGCAGGATGACTTATACCTCTTTCTGTTGGTTTTGGTTCGCACTTGACACGTACGTCGCCTCTNGCGGCGCGAGATGCGTTGATCGACAGCTCCGACGTTCTGGCATTCGGTGGATATCTTTCTGACTAGATGCGGATTGTCCGTCGGGCTGTAACTGTCGATTCGTTCGTTTCCAGCGGTAGTCGACCTTGTCTCCAGCCGCTACATCTGCGCATCTGATTGGATGAACCCTATTCTTGATTCGTTCTCTAGCCGGGGCTCTCTTTGTACCACCTTCCATCACAAAAAGACTGCTTTCTAACAAAGATTATAACTGTGAGCTACTAAAGCGATGCTCAAAACGACATCACACGTAGGTTTCCTGCTACGATGTTGCATACATAGTTCAGAAGCCAACTGACCAACTACGTACATCTTAAATATAACTTGGCCATTCTCTTCTCGTCTATGGCTTCTCGTTATTTTCTTTGCTCAT